CCACAGCACTTTTAAGCAGTTTAAGTAGTTTTTAGATTTTTTTTAAAGACAAGCTCTAAAAGCAAATGATTAATCAGCAAGTTTAAGTAGTTTTTAGATTTTTTTTAAAGACAAGCTCTAAAAGCAAATGATTAATCAGCAAGTTTAAGTAGTTTTTAGATTTTTTTTAAAGACAAGCTCTAAAAGCAAATGATTAATCAGCAGAGAGAAAAAGACAGATTGCTCATGCTTTTCATAGCAAACTGCACTCATGTACATTTTGAACAACTGACTATGAAAAGTACTAATGATGGAGAAGTATGGAAAACTCTAATTTAATCAATCAATCAAATTAATTAATTTTATTTATTTATTTTATACTCCCCCACAAACCTTGTGATTCTGGTTGTTGAACAGTAGTTAAAAACATAAATAACATCACAATAAATACAAATCAGCAGCTAGGGTGAAAACAATTAATAATTACCCTGACCTTTGTTCCAACACAAAATTCCAGAAGATTGAATTTTGCAATTTTATTAATGAGTATCTTATAGACACAGATTATTTATGGATAATTACAATGAAAAATGGTAGTTCTTTATTAAGTTGCATAAAACTTTACACACACACACCCATGATGAGAAGCCCTTGCTGTTGTTTGGCTGGCTGTCTCCCTCCCTCCCTCCCTTTTTGTTTAAATAAGTAAAGGCCAAAAACAATCAATCAAAATTTTGCCCAGCACGATACTTTCAGGAAGTTAATGACTTGTCTTGCTAAAAACCTTCTCCTTCAGAGAATGAAGGAAAGCTGTAGCAAAAGAAGGGAGGAAGGAAGCTGGAGACAGGGGCATCTATCAGCAACATGCACATCGCTCTGCCAGATCCCTCCACGGGGTCATTATCCTCATGCCTGATCTACTTGGCCTCTGGAATGTCCAGGGGGGCTCTCCCTCAGTGAAAACCCTCCACCCCGGCAGGAAGCTACATTGCCACCATCTCTTTTCAAATGGGAAGATGCTTCCGTCACTTGGAATCTGGACGGGGCAGTACAGGAAATCCCTCTTCCCCAAGAATCAGCTTTTAAATGAATGGCTTCAATTTTCTCCTTTCAACCAGGGCAACCTAGCCCAAATGATTTTGGAGCATGCAGTGCTAGATTACAAACCCACTGCTAGAGAAATCAAGAAAAGAATTTTTATTTTTAATAAAAGAAATGAAATAGTGACATGACAGTAAAATTTAACTGCAACCAGTTAATGAGGTTGAGATCTGCATTTCAGACCTAGCTCTCAATAATGTATAAGCCCTCTGACAAACAAAGAGATAGAGAGACAGAGAATTAGATAAGACAGAATATCATCCAACTGAGCATGCTGTACTGAACACAAATTTCAAAAACCCTCACATGACTAAATTGGATATTCTCTGCCAGCTTTACTCACTGGTTCCTCCTCTTCCAGAGTTTTCTAGGCAATGGGCCAAGTCAGGCCCAGTCACATGGAATTTCTTCAAGTATCTGCTTCTCCAGGAGGCCCTCAGCCAAAAGCCCTGAGGACAAACAATTCCTAACTTCTCCTACCCTTGAATCCCCCCCTGAATCAATTACAGCTAGCCAGGAGACCACTCAGAACTGTCCTCTTAATCCATGGCAAAGGCATGAAAGGATTAACAATACTCATAGCCATGCACAGCAACTGAGATTACATCATAATGATGACACGTGCATGACAACCTTATGGCACTATTCTCTACAAAGGCAGAGTTATCTATTTAGTGGATGGATTTTTTAAAAAAAGAGAATAAATCTTGCAATGGTTTTGTATGCCCATTCAAGGGAGTTAACTGTCCCCTATAACTCTGAAGGCAATATTTGACATAAACGAGGCAATGACAACTATGTACCTTCTGAACAGTATAAAAAATATAGGGAAAACTTGGCTCTGATATTGTTAGAGATATAAAAAGGACCCCAATCTTATGGTATTATGAGGCTTATTCTGATTCTTATTCTTACAATTATTCTGATATAGGAAGGAGCCCCACAAATTACAGAAGATTTCATCGAATATTTTTGTTAGATACAGATACTAAGGTTTGAAGGCTACTTTGACATGAAGTTTACAGAAGGTATTACTATCCATAATCCATCCAGCACAA